GGAGGAGGAGGAGGAGGAGTAGGAGTAGGAGTAGGAGTAGGAGTAGTAGTAGTAGTAGTAGTAGTAGTGGTAGTAGTAGTGGTAGTAGTGGTAGTAGTGGTAGTAGTGGTAGTAGTGGTAGTAGTGGTAGTAGTGGTAGTAGTGGTAGTAGTGGTAGTAGTAGTAGCAGCAGCAGCAGTTAGTAGTAGTGAGTAGTAGTGAGTAGTAGTGAGTAGTAGTTAGTAGTAGTTAGTAGTAGTTAGTAGTAGTTAGTAGTAGTTAGTAGTAGTTAGTAGTAGTTTGTAGTAGTTAGTAGTAGTTAGTAGTAGTTAGTAGTAGTTAGTAGTAGTTAGTAGTAGTTAGTAGTAGTTAGTAGTAGTTAGTAGTAGTTACGGTAAGTCTTTGAGTTGTTGTTATTAGATTTGTAGTAGTGTAGTTGTTTTGTGTTGTAGTTGTTGTAGTTGTATTATAAGTAGCGTAAGGAGTAGGAGTAGGAGTCGGAGTAGAGTAGGAGGAGTAGGAGTAGAGTAGGAGTAGGAAGTAGGAGGAGGAAGTAGGATTGAGGACGGCGGAAGTATTAGTAGTATGAGTAGGAGGTGTGAGTAGGAGTATGAGTAGTCAGTAGTAGTATTTGGTAAGTAGTAGTGGAGTCTGTGGTTAAGTAGTGGTCGTAGTGTAGTAAGTGGTAGTATGGAGTAAGGGTAGTAAGTGGTAGTTAGTGGTAGTAGTGGTAGTAGTGGTATAGTCGTAGCAGCAGCAGCAGTTTAGTAGTAGTGAGTAGTAGTTAGTAGTAGTTAGTAGTAGTTAGTAGTAGTTAGTAGTAGTTAGTAGTAGTTAGTAGTAGTTAGTAGTAGTTAGTAGTAGTTAGTAGTAGTTAGTAGTAGTTAGTAGTAGTTAGTAGTAGTTAGTAGTAGTTAGTAGTAGTCAGTAGTAGTCAGTAGTAGTCAGTAGTAGTCAGTAGTAGTTAGTAGTAGTTTGTAGTTGTTAGTAGTAGTTTGTAGTAGTAGTAGTAGTTGTAGTTGTTGTAGTTGTAGTAGTAGTAGTAGTAGTAGTAGTAGTAGTAGTAGTAAGAAGTATACAGTATTAGTAGTAGTCGAAGGAAGTTTAGGAGTCAAACTTCCGACAATATGGACAGATGAAAAGCAGAGGTGGTAAGAGTCAAAGAAGAGAAGAGAAGAGAAGAAGAAAGACGATGAAAAAGAGAAAGTCTCAGAAGAAAGAAGATGCAGGTGAGCGAAAAGGTAGGAAAGTCGCGAAACACTGTGTTCCAATGATTTGTGGCTCCGGAGGGTCGAAAAGTAGGCTCGCTACTACATTACACTACACTCCACTACACTACACTCAGTTACACAACACTACACTACATTACATTACACTACGCTAATTACATTCCACTACACTATGCTACACTACACGAACTAGAACCACAACTACGACTACAACTAAATCTGTACTACATTACACTACGCTACACTACACTACACTCCACTGCGCTACACTACACTGAATGAGACTACGCTACGCCTACAACTACAACTGCAACTACACTACATTTCATTACACTACATTTCATTACACTACACTAATTACATTACACTAAACTACACTACATCACACAACTACAACTACAACTGCAACTACATAAGACTACACTACTCTACAGTACAGTACACTACACTACACTACACTACATAAATTAAATTACATTACACTACACTACACCTCACTACGCTACACTCCACTACATTCCACTACACTACACTACACTCAATTACACTACACTACACTACACTACACTCCACTCCACTCCACTCCACTCCACTCCACTCCACTCCACTCCACTCCACTCCACTCCACTCCACTCCACTCCACTCCACTCCACTCCACTCCACTACACTACTACGCTACGCTACGCTACGCTACGCTACACTACACTACACTACACTAACTACAATTACAACTACAACTGCAATACATTACAGAACGCTACGCTACACTACAACTACAACTACAACTGCGCTACACTAATTGCATTACACAACACCACACAACACATTACACTACACTACGCTACACTACATTACACTACACCACACCACACCACACCACACCACACCACACTCAATTACACTACACTACCCCACATTACATTACAATACATTACATTACCTTTCGCTACACTCATTACACCACCACAAATGCAACTGCACCTGCACTAAACTAATTACACTACACCACAACTACAACTCCACTACACTACAACTACAGCTACAGCTGCACTACACCACACTACATCCAGCAGTTGTGGGTGAGCTGACCGACCAGCTGACCACTGCAACCATCGCAATCACTCCAAAAAACACAGCTCCAACCACCTTTCGGTCCATCAGTGGATTCGCTCTGCCATCCGTGATTCGCAGCAACCAATCTCTCCGAACAACTACAACTACAGCTGCACTACACCACACTACATCCAGCAGTTGTGGGTGAGCTGACCGACCAGCTGACCACTGCAACCATCGCAACCACTCCAAAAAACACAGCTCCAACCACCTTTCGGTCCATCAGTGGATTCGCTCTGCCATCCGTGATTCGCAACAACCAATCTCTCCTATAGGTTTCCTATTTTTGAAACTTCCGCCACCGCCTTGTGCGGTACTACTACTGGTTGTGGTGGTGGTGGTGGTAGTAGTAGTAGTAGTCGTAGTAGTAGTAGGAGGAGTAGTAGTAGTAGTAGTTGTAGTAGTTGTAGTAGTTGTAGTAGTTGCAGTAGTAGTAGTAGTAGGAGGAGGAGGAGGAGTAGTAGTAGTAGTTATAGTAGTAGTAGTAGTCGTAGTAGTAGTAGTAGTAGTAGCAGCAGTAGTAGTAGTAGTAGTCGTGGTGGTAGTAGTAGTAGTAGTAGTGGTAGTAGTAGCAGTAGTAGTAGTAGTAGTGGTAGTAGTGGTAGTAGTGGCAGTAGTGGTAGTAGTGGTAGTGGTAATGGTAAATATATGTGTAGTTGCAGTTGTAGTTGTAGTTGTCTATCTATCTGTCTAGCTGCAAGCTAAAAAACGAAGCTATTCTGCGAGACTTCTTCAATTTTTGAACTTGACAGCATCAAAAACGAAGCAAGTCTGCGAGACTTCCTTCAATAATGGAAAGTTGACTGCAGAGCTGACGGCCTCGTGCCAACGCGTTTTGCGATTTTTCCGGTCCGTGTCTCTAAAGTATTGCGCCTGCTAGGAAAAAGTGAGGCCAGGTCATTCGAAGTGCTGCACCTGTCACACAAAATCATTTTCCCAAAGCTGAAGATCCGATACCCCAAAATGCAACCCCTCTCAGGAAATCAGCGCCCGGACCTCCTAACATCTCTAATGAACATGTCTCTTGTACTGCGCTTGCCACGGAACATGCATTTTTGCAGGTCCTCTTCAAATGTCCCACGATGTAAAACGCCTGCCAACGCTAGTGAAACTTCTGCAAAGCCTCACGTTTTGCTTACTTTTGACAGGTTGCACAATTCCTTGTGCCTGCCACGCGAAACGACATCTGAACGTCCAAATGTGGTCCGAACATGTGGTAATTTTGACAGGTTGACTTGGAAATGTGCTTCGCGCCACAACGGCGTGCACTTTTTCAACATCTCAACATCGAAAAGTGGCCCGAGACCGTCAGTTTTTAAGGCTTTTGACTTCGAAACGTGCTTCGCGCCACAACAGCGTGCACTTTTTCGACATCTCAGCTTCCAAAAGGGGTCTGAACATGAGGTGCTTTGTACATTTTGACTTCGAAATGTGATTCGGGCCACAACGCCGTGCACTTTTTCAACATCTCAACTTCGAAAAGTGGCGCGAGACCGTCAGTTTTTTTAGACTTTTGACTTCGAACTGTGCTTCGTGCCACAAGGGCGTGCAATTTTTCATCTCTCATCTGGCCAGATGGCTACTTTAGCGAGCCTACTTTTCGACCCCCCGGAGCCACAAGTCAGCGGAAAAACGCAGTGAATCACGACTTTTCTACCTTTTCGCGTGCCTGCATCTTCTTTCCTCTGACTCTTTCTCTTCTCTGATCTTCTTTCTTCTTCTCTTCTCTTCTGTTCCTCTTCTGTTCCTCTTCTGTTCCTCTTCTGTTCCTCTTCTCTTCTCCTTCCTCTCCTCTCCTCTCCTCTCCTCTCGTCTCGTCTCGTCTCTGCTCTGCTCTGCTCTGCTCTGCTCTTCTCTTCTCTTCTCTTCTCTTCTCTTCTCTGACTCTCCCCACCTCTGCTTTTCCATTTGTTCATATTGTCGGAAGTTTGACTCCTAAATTTCCTTCGGCAATAATGATCTGATACTTCAATCAGCAACATTTTCGTCTGTTTCTTGGTCGTTATCATTGACATCAGCTACGTCAAACTATGTGCCACGAGTGTTGCACCCGCGCTCAAGAAAAATGTGATGGGCCGTTTTTGGCATGAACCAACCAAAAAAACATCCAAAAAACACGTGCTCGGGGCTCGCGCTCTCTCTCTCTCTCTCATCACCTGCTATCACAACATATTGCAACTATATACCTTTCGTCCCCCGTTTCTCTCGATTTCATTTCTTGAATGGCTGCTCGTGTTTCTGTGTTTGTGATTCTCGATTCTGGGCGAAGCAGCAGAGACAAACCAAAAAAAATGAAAACAATGAAGAAACAAACAAATGTATTGGGAATGCCTGCGCGCAGAGAATAATTCCGTCACATATGTTTGTGCAGCATGCATGTAAGCAAACATGATGCTGCTAATGGCACAGGCTCCTGGCTCCAGTCCTTCCCCAGAATTTACCGTCAAGGCCAGGCACGGAAAGCCTTGTAAGGCAGTTTCAGAGTTGCAACTCGGGAACCCTTGCTTATAGCACAGCAAGATGCTGCTGGTGCTGCTGGTGTTTGGGTCTTTGGATTGTGTCTATGATACTGTAGCCTACGAGGAATTTCGGGGTGAGTTGTCTGAGGATGTGACTGGTGCAAGATGTTGTAGCATGTTGCAGCATTTGGGTTCAATCCCGGCCCGTTTTTTGAGAGGCATGGCTACTGCAGTCGCAGTGGCTGGGTCAGACGCACGCACCGGTAGAGGAATGATGGAAGAGCCGGTGGGAATAGCAAGATGGAAGACTTTCAGCCTCGATGGGCATCACTACTACTATGATGAGAGCAGAAAATTGCAGGAAGCACATGCACCATGCATGCCTCCGAAAGAGATGACTTTTAATCTGATGTTCTTCAGACATGTTTTTGATCACCTGGCGAAGACTTCAGGTTCAGGATCACGAGTCTCAGTTGTGGCTCTCCGAAACATGTCCGCTAGACTCATGGAGAAGATGCAGGTGACAGATCCAATGAACATCGACTTCTTCGGGGATATCGCCAAAAAGAAGTGCACTTGGAATGACGTGTGCAAATCACTTCTAGCTGTTGGACACCCTCGGGTAAGTCTGACTCCTACGGAGCGTTTGTTTGTCACCCTTGAGGCTGAGGATAGCAGTCATATTGCAAAGGTTTGGTTTTATATCGTCATGACCGTGACCATTGCCAATGTCAGTGTCTTCATTTGGCCAAAGCTGCTTCTTGATGCCTTTGATGTCATACACATAAGTGACACGGATGCGTGGAGCCTCTATTTCAAAGATGCTTGCATGACTGCCCCATGGCTGATTTTAATTGATTTTAACCCTAGGCGTTTTGGATTGGACCTTGAAAATTCTCATGATCATGCCAAACCCTAAGGGGTTTGAAGCAATGACTTGAAACTTGAGCCTCTTGGACTCTTGGACAACTTCTTCGTCAAAACAAATAGCTAAATAGCACCCCGTGCTGAGATTTTGATGCTTTCTAGGTGTCAGCCAAAGGCTGCGGCCAGGCTGGGCTGTTGTGTTAAGGTCGGCTCCCATGCCCATGTCTCCCAACAGTCCTTTGACCCCCCAATTTTGGGGAATGTGTCTTAGATGAGCTCCCTGCGTGCTTAAAAGTGCTTGGTCGTGGGACCCACAATGCTGTGTAGTTGTGTCTTTCTTGATTCGCTTCATGTTGTTTCACTGGCTGCCGAGGTGTTTACTTTGGATTACCTGTTGAAGATGGCATGTGCACCCTTCGTACGTCTTGAAGTGGTGGAGCCATGCGTCGAATACTTTGATATTCACAGCTGGACTTATCGACCTATGTCGCGCTGGGAGCGCTTCACACATGCTTTCAAGGAGTCGAGTAATGTCATTGATCTTTTGGCAGTCCTCCCATGGTGGTGTGACCTGATGCCCCGTGGATGCACGTACCCAGTTTCACTGTGAACATGTTTAATCGCATGTTGTAGGCCTGCAAGATTTCCAAGGCAGCTTCTCGTAATCATGATTTGGCATTGGGCATTGGGTTCAAAGATTGTTTAGATTGTTTCGTTTTTTCATTGCTGCCGGCGTTCGCTGCACAGCCAAATATAAAGCTATCAAACTCAGTTGATCAGAATCCATGCTTTGTTTTAAATTCCTCCAGCCTCCGTCCTTTGACACCAAGATTCGTGCACTTCTTACCTGCTGCGTCGTTCTTGCGTATTCTGCGCTTGGCTCGGGTCTTTCGAATCTTCAAATCAGTGAGACACCTTGACATGATGCAAGTGCTGGGGATGACACTGTGGAAGAGCATGGGCATGGTCTTTGGGCTCTTTTTGGATCTTTTTGCCACACACATTTTGTGTTGTTTAATATCAAAGCACGCACATTCACGTTTTGGCACTGTATGTGCATACTCTATGGTGTGGATGTGCAGATGTTCAACATTTCGATAGCGAGAGAGAGAGAGAGAGAACTGACAACGAACAGCGGCCAAGGGGCTAAGTTTGCCAAGTGTGGTTAATCGTTGCAACCTTTGAAGCATTGGTGTCGTTGGGTGTCTGTTGGGTCCATTGTTGCTTTGCACGGCTCAGGTGGTGATCGTTTTCACGATGATCACAATCATAGGCCTCATTGCTGCTTGTGTGCTTCAGCAGGTGGAAAGGGATGCCAAGGCCTTCGATTCTGTCCTGGGCTCTTGGTACTGGACTTTCTGCAGGTTGATTGGGATGAAGGACACTCCCCACCACCAAGGTACCGTGACCTCTTACTGGGGAATTGCCATCCTTGGATGCACTTTGACACTGAAGGGCGTCCTGTGGATTGTCCCAATTGAACGCATCAAACAGATTTTTTCCAAAGAATATGCGGATGTTGTGCAGGGCAAGAACTTGCAGGCCGAGGTAGTGAAGGATGTGAAGCAGATCTTTGAAGATACACACGAAGATGTGGAACATATTGTGAGAGAAGGCCCTGCAAAATATGTTTGTGCCATCCTGAGCATCGATACCAAAGCAGGGTCTCTGCAAGGCTGTGTGCCACTGCCAATCAGCAGGAATTCTCCTTTTGACAACACCGGCAGCGAAATGCGCATAAAGCTTGAGAGCATAGATGTGAAGGATGCGTGGTTTGCAAAGGTCAAGATCAAGTGGACACCGACTGACGGCATGGAGGACCTTCCATCCGGCCAGCTCCTGGTAGGAATTGCTGGAAGTAAGCTGCCAGCCTATGCCAGTGAGGCAAGAATCGAGGTGCTCGTTGGATCTGATCAAACGCAGGAGAAAAAGCTAACCCTAGACCTGGGCAAGTCCAGGGAAGATGTGAGTTTTGACATCCAATGGCTGGGAAGAAAGTCAGATGAGATCAAAAAGTCCGTCTCAACCATTGGGCATCATGTCAAAGACCTTGATGACTTTCAGGTTCAAGTCCTCCAAATGCTGCGGGAGCAAGAAGACATGCTTCAGAATCAGATGAAGCAAATAGCAAGTCAGTCTGAGGAGCTTGCCGCCTTGAAGCTCCAGAAAGCAAAGTAGGAGACAGATGCAACCAGATGCAGATGCAGATGGACAGCTTCAACTTGCACGAAAGCAAAGGTTGAGGTGGATGCTTGAACAAAATAAGTACCACCTCTGTTTCATCTTCCGGGACACCAAGTGCCCGAGCCTATTCACTAGTTGGTTAAGACACGCAAGTAATTAGTTGCGTGGGGCACGGAGCCGCTATCACCAGAGGTGATTGCAGCTGAAAGTATCACCACATGCCAAGTGCAGGAAAGACAAATGGTAGCTTTGTTTGGTCCTGCACCTGTGACTCAGTATTCCTTGGATCCTTTTTGCACTCCTCACCGCACCATGCTCTTGCCTCGACCCCTTCTTCCAGCTCAACAGGTTTGTACATACTTATTTGAAGTTTGTGTGACTGCCTGCCTCCCTGGCAGCTAAACCAAAGCTTGCGCAGGAGTCTGACGCAATCCCCTCATCCTTCATCCGGCAGCACACAAATTTCCAACGGAGGCCTTGCAGAAGCCGCCATCTCATGCAATTAGTACAAGAGATGCATTCTGATATTCTGATGACGGGGAAAGATCCAGCTGTGTTCAGTCTTTCCCCAGGTGAAGGTCTCTAGATTTTAGCAAAGGTGCACCTCCTTCTCCTCCTCCTCCACCCCCTCCTCCTTCACCTCCTATTCCTCTTCATCTCCTCCTCTGCCAGCTCCAGATGCAGTGGGCCATGCCGGGACCCGAACTCCAAATCGACAACGCCGGATGCAGTGGATGGCACCTGGACCCGAACTCCAAATCAGGATACTGTGGAGCGCGCCTGGACCCGAACTCCAAATCAAGATGCTGGACCTGGTAGGTGAGGATGCTGTGGAGCGCGCCTGGGCCCGAGCTCATGCCAGAGAGAAGGCCAGATAGAATGTGAGATAGAATGTCACGAAAGCTAGCGGTAGCTAGCTGGAGTTACTCTTGCTTCAGCAAGGGGAGGGGCAGGCCTGAGTCCGGAACCCCCCTCCCCCCTAAGCTGTTGGGGCATTTTGAAGGTTTCGTTCACCTCCCCTTGAGCCTCAAGTCAGAAAGAATGCCAGATAGAATGCCAGACAGAATGTCAAAATATCTGATATATATATATATATATATATTGCGAAAGGGAACCAGGTAATACAGCAACTGCACATGCTGAGCATGTAAACAATTATGCATGGACTGCCAATCACTTGGCTCAAGTCATGCGCGAGGAAAAAGACCGTTCTCCGAACGCCATGCAGTGACGTTGCCCTGCACTACCAGCACAACCGGTACTACAATCAAAAGGGATAATCCAGAACAAGGATCAATTTGTTCACAGGTTATCAGCCGTAGGGCTCACTTCTCCCGCCGGGAGAGTGGTACCTGCGTGCTGGTAGCCGGGCCGTCTGAGCAATTGATTGAGGACGCAAAGGACCAATCGGCTCATCATCGCAAAGATGCAAGGCGGCAGCGGAGATTCGCGCACCACGCAGTTTACCTTCAATGAGAACGCTGCTATGCCGGTCGAGGAGGTCAATCAATCTTCCCCTGGTGACACGGCAGACAGTGGCGGGATACGCCCTACCCGAACTACACAGTCCGGATGGCAAGTCACATCAAACAGACGAAGAATATCCACCCAAAGTACACCTAGATCTTCTCGAAACAGTGCTCGGAGTGATGTTGTCCGTCAAGGGCATCGACCATCTCGAGGACGTACTACTCCAAGGGACAGATCCACCAGGGCCGTGACCGACCGAATTGGTGAGAGGACCGGGGATAGTCGTGTTAAGAGGAGATCAACGGATACTTCTGTGGCTAGTGAACCTATTGCCATGATAGAAGAACTACGGGCACAATGTCAATCCCTACGTAATCAGCTGAACAACATGGAAGCATACGCTGCATCCAGGGATCAACTGATTCATGACATCGAGATCAGGTTCACTGAGTATCTTCGGGAACACAATCAGAATGTATTTGATGAGGTCAATGCACTCAATCATAGATTGTCATGTTCCGCAAATGAGGTTGCAGAATATCAAGCAGAACTAATGGTAGCATCTCAGGAAGATGAAGGTGCAACAATACGCATCCAAGACCTTGAACGCCGAGGTGCCCTAATGGAACATGGTGCACGACGGATCCATCAACGTGGTATGGAGATCCAGGAGGAGTACAAGGATGAAGTACATCACCTTCAAGGACTACTGGGTAATACGGAGGCAAGACTACAACAACTTCATCAAACCAATGTCTTAACCACCGATATTGCCAATCGACTATACAATGAAGGTCAAGAAATGCAAAATGATTTCCAGAACTCAATCATGGAATATCGTAATCGATCTGAAATGGCATCCTCCTCTAGTAATCAACTTGAAGTGATTAGCCAGCAACAATCAATTGCAGTTCATGAATTATCTGAGCGAAATCAGCTATTGAGTGAAGCCTTGGTTCAGTCTCGTAAACAGGCCGAGCTGTATGAGAGCAGTATTGATGAGATCACTAGAGAGTCTAGGAAGAAGGTGTTCGAGGCAAATCAGGCCAAATTGGAAAGTGATCTGAAGCATCGAAACACTGAACATGATACCGTCAAAAGAATTGCATCATACAGGAACCAAGAGGCCGAAGCAATATCTCACCTGAGGCTTGAATCACAGGCTAGTGCAAACTCGATCGCAAGGGCAGAGCACTATGAAGAGCTCTATGCCAACGAGCAGAAGATGAACTGCGAATTGAAGGATGAGATCAAGTTGCAGAACACGAAGTTACGAAGATCATTGACTCAGGGTTCTACGACCGACGGTCGTGGCCCCGAAGAGATGCTTGTTGAAGATCTACGTAATCAAGCTAAGATCGCTCAAATCAGGGTTCAAGATCTAGATCATGAAGTTCATGAATGCTTACAAGAGAACTTGTTGTTAAAAGAAAGATTGGCTGAAGTTGCGGATGTAGGGGCGTCGTCCCTCACCAATGCTGAGGTCCGAACTCTAAGATCTGAACTAGAGAGTGAGCGAAAGTTAAAGTTGGCGAGTGGTGTTCAACAATATGAGAGATCATGCATGTTCATGGGGGAAATCCAGGATAGGGATGAAAAGATTGGCATCAAGAATTCTGAGATTGTTGACATGAAACGTCACTTAGATGAACTGAGAAAGAGTCTCAAGGATTCTGAAACATCTATGGCTAGGATCAGTCCTGACACACTTCCCTATTCGGCAGGCATTCCCAACTCCGATCTCGCATCCAGACTGGTCATCGACAAACTGGAGAATGACGTGAGTGAGGCTAACTGTGAAAACGCTATTCTGAAATCTTGGGTTTCGCAGATCGACAAGGAGTTGACTTATGAGACAAATGTGGCTCATTCCTATCGTGGGCATGCTTTACCTCCTCAACAACCACAGCATTCTCAATCAAGCAAAAGAATCGCTGATCTACTGAAAGAGGTTGACAACAAGATCGCTGGCGGAACTGAGAGGGAATACTACAAGCCACCGAGTGGATGGGGCGGTCCGCCTGACCCTGATGGACCTCCGGACCCTTTCGGGCCTAACGGTCCAGGACCACCTCCTGAACCTCCTGGTTTGCCATCGGTTCGAGGATCACAACGCGATTCAGCAGATGATGTCTCCACAGCGGCTTACACTGCGGAAGAAGTACCAAGAATGTCAAGACGAGAGGCTGACAAAGTCTATGTTAGCCCATGGCCAAAGCAACAGAATCTTGGGGTTTGGCAATCAGATCTCATCAAGAGTGTTGTCCTTTCGGCAAATGACGGGGATAAAGCCGCATGGGAGGCATGGCTACAGCCGGCTATTCGACCTAATCCTGACATCGAGCTGTTGAATGACAGTGGGGGGCAACGGTATCAGTCCATCGACGCCAAGTTGTCAATCGCATTGTCAAACGTGATAGCCCAAGCCGGTGATGTTGCCCGTCATGTAGCGATCAAATTGAGATTGAGAACACAAAGTCATAGCCGAAGAGGAACCTATGTCATGGGACGGGAAATCTTGGCTTTGATTCTGGAGCACTTCAGAACCCCAGGTCAACGAGAAACATCCTTCACCATGGAGCACATCGTATCGATGAAGTATCTCGGTGACTCGAACCTAGAAGTGTTCTACGAGAAATGGATGGAGATGGTATCAAACATGATGCCGGATGACGTACCTCCTGATGATTGGCTTCGTGACGCTCTATACAAGAAGATTCGAAATTCGAGTCTTATGATGTTTGACATCAAGCAGTACGAGTCATGGATGGAAGGAGACCAAAGACGAAATTATCGCTACCTGTTGGATGTCATCGAAAGGCACATCTCCAGAATCAGAGAGGACAAGCATGTGGCAGCCAGAGAGAAGTATGCGAGAGACTTTGCAGGCGGCGGCAAACCTTCAGCTCCTGCTCCGAACCTAACTGCCGCTGCACCGGATGCAAATCCAAAAGCGAAGCCTAAAGCTACTCCCAAGGAGAAGGCAGCGCCCAAGGCGAAGGCCAAGGCCGATGCAGCTCCAGTTCTACCATCACCTCAACCTAAACAGCATGCAAAAGGAAAAGGAAAAGGTCAAGGGAAAGGGAAGGATCGATCAAACGGCCGAAGTACCAGCCCCAGATCCAAGAAGAAGATCCCATGCCATTTCCATTTCATCAAGAAAGCATGCAGAAAAGGCAAGGATTGTGAATACAGTCACGACCAAAAGGTATTTGATGCGAACAAGAATGCAAAAGGCAACGGTCGGAAGCCAGGAACTCTAAGAAGTCAGTCTCCGGCAAACAAGACCAAGAAGGTTGATGAACCATGCTGGCATTGGGCTAAGGGCAAGTGTCGGTATGGAGACAAATGCAACAAACGCCACGATCCTCATCTATTCAACACTGCTCCAAACACTGAAGCACCAAGCTCAAAGGCTACTCCTGCACTTATCCATGATTGGAGTGATGATGAAGGGACGTTCCATAAGGTTGCATCGAACGTGATCAAGAAGAAGATCAGATTTGATGAGTCTAAAACTCAAGTTCAAACTTACGTGAAGAAGGACTTCGTGAAGTGCAGCCGGAAATCCCAAACCATCCCCAAAGGTCATGGTAAAGTTGGCAAGCCCACTGATCAGATAAGGAAAGATGAGCAATGGTCTTATTCATGCAGGTTAGCTTCGAGCCGAGGGAAAGCAATGGCTATTCTGATCGATGAGAAGGGTGAACACAGTGACATTGATGAAGTCCTAATCATAGTCGGCCCTAGCATGGACATCCT